AATATGATATTGATTATACATGTTAAGTCATGCAAAACATAATTCTGTATTAGCCATGGTCCTTTGGGGTTGTTTTGAACAACTGTTTTGATCTGAGTAGTTAAGTCTTTCACAGTTGATCATCCTTACAATATTGTTGTTACTATGTACGATGTTCTCCTGATTCTGTTCATTTTACTTTGCATGAATTTATATGTCTCCCCATGTTTTTCTGAGACCATCCTGCTGATCATTTCTCATAGCACAGTAGTTTCCTGTCATATTAGTATATAAGGTTGATCTTACAAATGGACTATTCCTACTTTATGATGTGGGCCAATGTATCAAGCTAATAAGTGACTAAAATAAAAATTGAAAAGGATTGAAAAAAAAGCCCACAACTTGTTCAGCCATTCCCCAGCTGATGGGCATCCCCTCAATTTCCAATTCTTTGCCACCACAAAAAGAGCTACTGTAAATATTCTTGTAAAAATGTCCTTTTTACTTTTACTTTGATCTCTTTGGGATACAGACCTGGTGATACTATTGCTGGGTTAAAGGATATGCACAGTTATATAGCCCTTTGTTGCCCCTTCATTTTTAGGGGAACACTTTGTTATCCCTAATACACAAGAGAGAAGAGACACATTCTTTGAAGCCCCGTTCCTTTTCTTCTATGAATCAGACCAACCCACACTTTGTATGTAGGTAGAAATTAGTTGTTTTTGGCAGAAAGACAAACACTGTATAATACTCAGGTATCTGCATAATTCTCTGTGTTCTCCATGCATCCTGGAAGGAAGATACTCAGTCCTTTGTAGTAATGCTAACAGTTCTTGTAGTCTACTTCCACAGAGAACATATCAGTCTGAGATGTCCAACAATATTACCTTATGAGGCAGTGAGTTCCTTATCACTGTAAAAGGACAAGTAGGCTTCAGAGCTAAAAGAAAGCTTATGGATCATCTAGTCCAACCTTCTGGTTTTGTAGATGAGGAAAATGAAGCAAAGGGGTTAAACAACTTGACCACAGTCACTAAACTAGTGAATAGTGGAGTTCAGATTTAAATCACAATGTTATTCAAAGTCTTATGTGCTTGCCACAACTACACAGTTAAAAGTTTACATATTGTAAAGAGGACTCTTTCATCTGTAGGAGGCTGACATAGAGGATCTTTAACGTATGTTACATATATTACATTATATGAAGGGACAACAAAGGGCTATATTACAGAACTAAGATTCTATGACTTCATGATTCTAAGGTGAAAGAGAAAGATCTAAGAATAATGATATCATCACTAATGTTAATAATAATATATGATATTCACATAATGCTAAGGTTTGCAAAGCATTTTTACAGATATTTCATTTGACCCTTATAAAACCCCTATTAGGTAGATGTTATTATTTCAATAGTAATATACAAAACAGTGTATTTCAAGTACCTTGCAACCCTTAAGGTACCACATAAATATTAGCTATTGTTATTATTATTATTTTATAGATGAAGAAACTTAGGCTGTGACTTGCTCTGGGTTCCACAGCTTATAAGGGTCTGAAATAGAGTTTGAACCTGTGTCTTTCTGATAAGTCCAGTACTCAGTCCACCAGGCAATGCTACCTCTTAGCAAATCCTTATGCCTTATGTGCTCACAAAAATAGTTCCAATGTCCAATCATGATAGACAATTACACTGGACTCTTGAAGGTTTTGCTAGCAAAACATAAGCTCTGGTAGGATTTGAGCCACACAGCTGAGGCTTTGAGAATATGCTTATAGGATAGACTATTGTCCAAGGAACCATTTAGTTAAAAAGAAAAAGATTGGCAATAAGTTAATGATTTATTTTTTTGCCAGAGTAACACATGAAGATCACATACTAAGGCATAGGAAAATGGGCATTTGAGTGGATGGAAGGATTGTACATAGCAACAAAATCCTGACTCTCTGTTTTTGTTTCTTTTTTTCTTCCTGAAATTTTGTAAGATTTTTACAACTTTCGTGTGCCTTTTCACACATCATTTAATTTGATCCATAGACCAGAATATGTTTTGTGGCAAGACAGCTTCTATAATGGCCATTCCACAAATGAAAAGACTGAGGCTCAGAGAAAATAAATGACTTACCTAAAAACACAAACCAAGGTCTCCTAACACTAAATCTAGTACTTCTTTAGAAAGAATGGATGTTATGACAAAGTAGGTTGTGAAAAATTAGAATGCAGTAGGAAAGTCCAGAAATAGACACCATGAAGAACTGTATGAGTGATAGTAAAGAGATCATATAGTCAGTTAAGTAGGACCCTGGCCAGTTCTGGGCTTCACCCTTTGAATCCAAGGTTTCTGACCACCAGACTTTTGACGTCAGATACTTGGCCACATTGTCAGGGCCAAGCTCAATCATTGCGAAGAAGCTGTTCTACTAGTGAACCTCTTTAGGGCTTCCTTCATGTCCTGATTCCTCAGACTATAGATGAAGGGGTTCACCATGGGGGTGACTACGGAGTACATCACCGAGGCAACTGAGATCTTCCAGGAGGAGTGGGTAACTGAAGAACTCAGATATACTCCAAGTCCTGTGCCATAGAATAATAAAACAACAGAGAGGTGAGACCCACAGGTAGAAAAGGCTTTATATTTCCCTCTAGCTGATGGTACTCTCAATATTGAGGAACAGATCTGAGTATAAGAGAAAAGGATCCCTGTGAAGGGGAGAACACCTAGCAGACCAGTTACAAAATATACTAAGATGTCATTGATGAGGGTATCAGAACAAGAGAGTTTCATAACCTCACCAAGTTCACAGAAAAAGTGGGAAATCTCACGTTCTGTACAGAAGGACAGCCTCATCACCATTAGAATTTGGAGAACAGAGTTTAGAAGACTAATAGTCCATGCCATTAGAACCAGGAAGCCACAAATCCATGGCCTCATCATGGTGACATAGTGCAGAGGGTGACAAATGGCCACAAAGCAGTCATAGGCCATCACAGTGAGGAGCAAATTGTCTGAACAAGCAAAAACAATGAAGAAGTACATCTGAGCAAAGCAACCAGCATACGAAATGGCCTTATTGTGTGTTAGGAGGTTCATCAGCATCTTGGGGACCAAGGTAGTAACTAGACAGACATCCACCAAGGACAAATTGGAGAGAAAGAAGTACATGGGAGTGTGGAGGTGGGAGTCAGAGCCAATGATCAGCATAATGAGAATGTTACCAACCACAGTGACCATGTACATGCCCAGGAAGAGCCCAAAGAGGGGAAGGTGCTGCTCTGACTTCTCAGAAAGTCCCAGGAGGAGGAATTCTGACACATGTGTTTGGTTTTCTGGTCCCATACACCTGATATATCTGCAAGGAAAAAGATATGGAAAGTTAGCAAAATGGGAATAGTCACCTCTCATTTTGTAATAGAGACAACACTAGATTTGGACTCAGAAGACTCAAGTTTAAATCCAAGGTCTACCACCTTTGTTATTTTAGACAAGTCACTTCCCTTTCACTGTCCTCAGTTTCCTCATATGTAAAATGGAGTTGGACTAGGGGATCTCTAAAGGTCTTTTCAGCTCTCACATCCTTGGAAACTCCATAAACCATACTTAGCACTTAAGTTATTTATAAATGAAGTTATAAAAACTTTCCTCAGAAATAATATTCCTTTAAGGTAAAAATATATTGAGTTAAACATTAAACTATATAAACTACAAAACTGGAAGAAAGTGGAGCAGAG